CGTGTGGCAGGGTGGGGGGTGGGGGGGGGGGGGGGGGGAAAGGAGGAGATTGCACTCTGCAATTTGCATACCTTTTTCAGATAGTCTTTTCAGAAGAGGCTTCTCCAAAATTGGGCCCATCTACACTGAGCCAAATGTCAGAAAAACCCTCTTTCAGAAGCCCCCTTCCTCCTTGTGGAAGGGGGAAGACACGGCTTCCAAAAGAGCTCATCTGCTCTTCCACAAAAAAAGCAGCATTCCCTGGACGTGGCAGAGTTTTTCTGGGATACCTGCAGGTATCCCAGAAAACCCCTGTAGTGTAGACGCAGGCTGTGTGTACTGCCATTCTCTCCAGGCCCCTCCCTGGAGAAGGCTGTGGGGTTAGGTGGTCAGATTCTGGGGGCTTTGCTAAAGCATTCTCTTTTCCACACTGGCTAGTGAGGAAACATGAGCTATGCCATCCCACCTCCCACTCACGCTATTTTCCCGCTCTGCAGGGTGGGGAATTACTCTTAGTGATTGGGGACCAAAGCTCTGAACTCTGTTGCTCCCTTTGCAATACGACTGCTCTCATTCAGGCCTGGCTAACTGGACCAATCTCATCGCTGCAGCCAAGACAAACCCTTTGCGACTTGTCTCAGAGCAAGGAGCTGAACCCACCTGTCCGAACTCCCAGGCTGAAGGAGCACCGTCCTTCCTCTCCATTTGTGTCAACTGCTTTTGGGGGTGTTAGTCACTTAAAGAACGAGCAACCCAGCCCTGACACTGTCTCCGTTCATTCTGATTAAACCACTCAGCCCAAATCCAGATTCCTGTCACCCACTTGAAGCCTGCCAGGAGGGAATCAGTCTGGACATTAGGTACCAAGGGGACCATAAAATACACAAACTTCATCCACTTACTAATCAGGCTGTTAAATGGAGAACTGAACTGTCACTTTTCTCACAGTCATTTGGAAGGCATGGGGGCAGAAATAGAACTACAGCAGAGAACGCTGGCAAAAGCAGCAGCAAGAGGAAATTATTCCTGATGAGTATGACAAGAGATACCTATTTTTATCATCACCACTGCCGCCTTTCCCAAAGGAATTTCCAGGATTTGAGTTCATGTCACTCTGCAATGATACATAATTAGCTGCAACTCTAGCTTTTAGCAGAGCAAAAATGCCACCATTTTAACCCCTACTGTGTTCAGAGTAGAATCCAACCACCCTCCCATTCAAAGGAACAAAGAGCCGACGACTCTCACTTCAACACTCAATTCCAAAGCTGAGAATACGCCACACGTGACACATGAAAATTAATTCTGAAAACCTCCCAATACGCTGGACTATACAGACAGACAGAGTTTACACTTCAGCTTTAACAGAAAATTGTCCTGGGATTTCGTCTTGGGTATTTGCCATGTTTCAATAAAACACTTAGAGTAGAGCTGAACTATTCAGCAAGCATGGGGGAGGTGGAAAGTCAGCTGTGTGGATTTCAAACTCAAAGGGTGTGAAACTTCTTGCTGCTGTGTCTCCCACAGCCTGGATGGAATTGATATAGTTAAAATGACAGATGGCCTTTTCTTGTTTGACCTGGCTGGTAAGTCAGGAGACTACAGAAGAATGAATTTTCACATCCACTTGTATCTCAGCTAGAAATCTCTGGTCCATCCCAGGCTCAGTCTATAGTATTCCTACAGCCAGCCAATGAGTATGTAAATGAACAAGGGGGGGAGGGACCCCAATCTGACACACTGCTGAGTTTTGTCAAAGGCAGTTAAAGATCCAGAAGTTCCTGCATGCTGCACAGAGCTGGGCAAGTTGG